TTGGTTACATGAGCTTTAATGTAAGGGCTTATGTTCCACCACCGCTCAGATGTTATAAATGTCAAAGATATGGACATACTGCAAACATTTGTAAAGGAAAACAGAGATGTGGTAGATGTGGAGGTGAACATCCATATGGTGAGTGTGGAAATAATCCTATTAAATGTTGCAACTGTGGATGAAATGATACTGCAACATATGCAGGATGCACTGTAAGAAAACAGGCAGCTGAAATTCAAAAAGTAAAAAATGAGAAGAGAATTACATATGCTGAAGCTGTAAAAGAGGTGAATAATACTCCGAAAATAAGTACCGGTAACGAAAGGACGGGAGTGGCAGATATCAATCAATGTAATATAATATTAGAAAAGTTGATTCCTTTTCTTGCGTATATTATAAATTGTTCAGAACAAGCAAAAACTAAAACTGAAAAAATTAAAATCATTGTGAAGGCAGCCACAAATTTTTTAATGTCAAAGATTTATCTTGGGAAAAAAATCATGAGGAACTTAAACAAGGTGAAGGGTCATCTGAAACTGAAGTTTCTCAAACCATCACATAATTCTAATATTACAATGGAACGCTCGCAGTCTATTAGCAAATGGTCAGGAATTTAAAGGTTTCATTAGTAATTTAAATACAAAACCAGACATAATATGCATTCAAGAAACATGGCTCAAACCATCATGGTTACTCAATTATACGTAAAGATAGGATAAATGGGAATGGAGGAGGTTGTGCCATATTCATAAAAGAAWATATAAAATTTATACAGATCCAAATATTATCTGATTTAGAGCTTACTGCTGTACAAATTTGGACAAAACATGGGAATATTAAAATAATAAATTATTACAATCCTTGTAAACAATTAGAGAAATTAAAACTTGAAACAATCCTAGGACACTGGAAAGGGAAAATTGTTTGGTGTGGGGACTTCAATGCACATAGCTCTTGTTGAAGTAAACAGTTTTGTAATCAATTATATGCTTTGTTTACTTATTAGTAATCAGTTTATTCAGTAGAATCTTGAGTAATTAGTTATAGTAAAACTTATTAATGTGGTTACTGTTTTAATACTAGGAGTCTGAGTGTGTGAACAGGGCCTCTTGAAGGAATGCAGATCGGGGGAAGGGAGACTTGCTTGCTGCCACTGTGTGCAGGAAAATGAAGCAGCTGAGGTCATGAGGTCACGAAGAGCAGGAGTGGGAAAGAAAGGCTTCACCAGATCAGACGACTTTCCAGCACCGCAGCTGAGAGCTGGGAGCTGAGATCACCTGATTCCAGGTTGTCTGTTGTCCCTATAAATGCGCATTTATAGCCTTTTTGAATAATCTTGTATTTTGCATTTTGCTTAACCTTTTACAATTACATTTAATAAAGGTGGGTTTGAACTTTTAACTACTTGTATGTTATATATTTCACCTCGGTAATAGGTCGACAACGGAGGAGATAAAACGAGCTCGGGCGGAGAGAGTAAGTTCGGTGGTTGTCCGCAACAACAAATTGGAGGTTCCACACCGAGATCTCTTCTGAGTTTGGACGTTACGGGGTGGAAAAGGAGTCCAGGACACTGACGCTCGGACGTCCTCAAAGAATATCAGGTGAGCAGACTACCTTTAAAGTTCTGTAATTGGTCTTCTGATAGGCAAATTTGTTGTCAATGTGTTGGACTCCAGGGATAAAGTTACAGTAAAGTAGAAAACTAAGAAACTGCGCGTATTTAAAAGAAAAGTGAGTTTTAAG